ATCTCTCTTCTACTCTACTCGGATCAACACGGTCTCTGTGGTTTTCGATGTAACTTCAGTGCCGCCTCAGTGTATGTGGGATAACGAGCAAAGGCCATCGAACGCCCGAAACTTCCACGATGTTATTTTCTAAGTCAAACACAACACAGCAATGAGCAAATACTGTCGGTAAAATAGTCACAAGAGCCTCTCCATCCTCTGCTAGTTTCTAAATGCCGTAGCTGAGCCAAGATAATCAGAACGTCTGCTGGTCGGATCCTACAAATTGAGTCCATTTAGTCTACCTCTGTCTGAATTCCATTGTAAAAATAATGAGTTTGATTCGTGTGAAGTCGACACTCATGATTGTCGTTGCTCCCTGGCTGATCAAAACATTAAAAAGCAAAACTAATGGAAGTCAATGCAAAGTCCCTGTGAGGATAGAAAGATACGATGTGTGTGTGTGGGGGTGTGTGTTGTTGTTGTTTCTTGTTTAGATCCAAGGTTGCTGGTTTTGTTTGTCGACTTCCTCCAAGTTTGTTTTCTAATTACTGCGCATGATTGTTATCGCAGCCTTCAGTGGTGCGTGGTTGCTGGTCAGCCTCAGGGTGAGACATGGGTCATTGGTTCAGGGAACAGTGCCAACAGAAACTACTTCACTCAGCTGTGGACCTTTTTTTTTTACGAGTTTCCTTCTGGCAGTATGTGAGCTGGGACTTGGCGGAAGTTTTTTTTTTTTCTTTTCTGGTGTCTGCAGGAAGACATGAGCTGTGTGTGCGGAAAGACTTTACCAGAAGAACATCGTGTAATGTGGTGCGTCCTTGAAAAAGAATCAGATGAATGCATAAACTCTACGACTTGTGCACGTGGCTGTGTCCTGGAAAACACTCTGGCTGTAGCAACATAGCCACATGCAACATACTGCCCCCTGCTGACAACACTGTACAGACTCATTTACTGTCTCCTAAACCCCCAACAGAAAGGTGCCTGAGATCAGATGATTTCCAGACATCATATACTGTATATACTGTATGTATATG